GCCCTGGCACAGGTTGCCCAGAGAAGCTGTGGCTGCCCCATCCCTGGAAGTGTCCAAGGCCAGGTTGGACGGGGCTTGGAGCAACCTGGGCTAGTGGAAGGTGTCCCTGCCCATGGCAGGGAGTGGAACTGGGTGGGCTTTCAGGTCCCTTCCAGCCCAAACCAATGTGGAATTCTGTGATCTTTCATCAGTCCTCTCTCTCTGCTCTTCTGTAACATTGCTTTTCCTTTTGACATAATTTTTTTCAGCATAACTTTTTTGATATACATTTGGAAAAGCCCTGCTGGGAGGGGTACGAGGGTGGTGGTGGGTGGTTGGACTGAGGTTACATCCAATCCCTCTTTTCCATCTGTGTTTATGTTCCCAGGCTCTGCACAGATGGGGGTTATTCCCCTGCTCTGCCACTTTGCAGGTCCCCGGGAGCAGTGAGGAAATGTCAGGCAAGCAAGGCTGGAATTAATGGCAATGTTTTATGGCATCACTTGGTGTGGGGCTGAGCTGCTGCCCCTCCAAGCTGAGTTCCCTGTGCCCACTCCATCCTGGGTTTGTCATGCCAGGCCCTGCCTTTCTGAGGGGTGCAGTGACCCAAGACAGAAGCAGGGAGAAAACAGTGTTTGAGGACAAATTGTTCACCAGCTGATGGATGTGCAGCATCAGGCACCTTTGCTGTCTGAACAACCATCCATCCATCACCTTCCCTGGGGTATCTGGGCACAGCCTATGTGTAGCTGCCACCAAGCCCCTGCAGTGAGAACATCAGAGGTGACCCCTGGTGAAACCTGGCCACCTATGCACCCCACCAGGCTCCCAAACACACCAGGTGGGCATGGAAAGTCTCTCTTTGTTTTATGGGAATTTATTTCACCAGAGAGTTCCCTTGCAGGTGCACAAGGAGGCAATATTCTGCTCCATCAGGGTGCAGCACTGGTTTCCAAGGGCTTTGTGTCAGAGTCAGGGACACCACTCGCTGTCACAGACCCTGCCACCCCTACCTGTCACCCTGTGTCCCACCCTGCACTAGGCTCTCCGTGTCTGTGTCTCCCTAAAAAACCAATTTCACGCTCCTGTGATCTGGGGGACAAGAGGTGAGAGACACCACTGAGAGCCCTGAGACAGCAGTGTTTGGTGTTAGAAATACCTGGCTGGGCTGGGGTGGCCCCTCTGCCCTGTACATGAGGGAATATCCCTCATGTACATATCCTTTCCCATCTGTGTCTGCCAGAGCCTGGACCAGGGCCAGCTCCCTCCTCGTGGTGCCTCAGACACCCAAAAAGGCTTTGCAAAATGCCTCAGCCTTGGGAAAAGTCAGTCCCTGCTGTCCCAACCCACAGCCTCTGCCTGGCCCAGTTCCCCTCCTGCTCCCCAAACCCTTCTGACAGGTAGATGGGCTCAGATCTATTCCCTGACTTGTTCCTGCGGAAGCTGAGGCACAAAGAAGGGAAGTAGCTGGCTGTGGAGCTGAGGTTGGGAAGTGGGTGCTGTTGGTCCTGGTCCTGCAGGGCAGGTCTGGGAGTGTGTCTGGGTCAGGGTCTCTGGAATCCAGGGATGTCACTCTGGGATTGGCTATTTCTCACCTTTTCCCATGCTCCATGGCAAACATGCTGGGATGCCTGGAGAAAGGCAGGAATAGCAATTCCCACTGTGTATCTTCCTTTTTAGAGTGTTGGAGGACACCTGGGCCATCAGGGAGCTGAGGGCTGCAGATCTGATACAGGCAGGTGTGTCCCCCCCGGTCCCCCTGGTTTTGCTCTTTCTGCTCTCTCCTTCCTCTGACCTGAGGATATCTTCTGGGATTTGCCATCTCATCCCTCCTTTTCCTCCTTCCCCAGCCCACAGCACTAATCCTGTTCTGCCTCCTTCCTGCAGAGGAGCAGATTCACTCACATCTCTTGACCTTACCTGGGAGAAATTGCATTGAACGAAAATTATCCTTCTTTCCATCCAAAGATGGAGAAAAACGTGGCTCTTGCCAAGCCAATGCCATTCCCAGAGGGTGCTGCCACATCTGGGCTCGATCCAGCCACAGGGAACTCAGACTGACCTGAGTGTGCTGCTCTCTTCATGCAATTTTTTTTTTAAATCAATTAAATCTTATCTGGCTTTTTGTTTGATCTGCTCATTGTCCTCTGTGCTGGATCAAAGTACTTTTCCTCCTGTTCTTTAAGGAGTGTTGTGGATGAATAGATTTAATAGGTTTATTCTCATTCTGAACTGCTGGCAAAACTGCAGCATTTGAGATCCCTGCTGAGCTTTTCCCCTCGGGGCTCAGCCACATTCCCTCTTCCACAGGTAATATGGGAGCAGGACAACTCACTGGAGTGAGGTGAAGGTGTGGATGGTGGGATGGAGCCAGACCTGGCTGTGCCTCCTTGGCTGCTGACAGGTGGTGCAGGTTGTCATTAATCCAAAGGCCATCCCTGGGGAAAGAAGAACTGAGTTCCTCCAGAGCAGTGTGGGAAATTTGGGGACATTCTGGTGCACAGCAAAGGGTGAGGGGCTTTTACCCCCTACTTGGGCAGGGATTAGTGAAAACGTTTCTACTGGTGCTTTCTAGCATTTTCTTCTCCCAAGAAGACTCTGAAAGCTGATTATGGAAGAGCTTGGAGTAATCCCAGTGTTAAAGGATGGGTTAAAGGATGCACACATTTAAAGCAGGGCCTGGAAAGGATGGGCAGGAGGACTAAAATACTCCAACACCCCGTGGGATTTGTGGTTTGCAGGTCTAACTAAATGCATGTTTGGTGACGAGGGCTGGCAAAGCCATTAACACAGTTAAACCAGGGCATTAATCCTACAGTGGTTCCCAACTCCATGAAAGTGGAAATCTAGGCTTAGGCTCCTCTTGGTTTCCTCCCTGTGGTTTTCCACCCTTTTCCTCCCCACTGTGTCACCCCTGAGCTTTCGAGGGGCTCAGTGGCTGTAAATAATTCCTCCCAGCCCTGCTCCAGAGTCAGGATATCAGACCCTGTGGGCTGCAGACAGGCAGGTGCTTTTGCTCCAGCACTGCTGAACCCTCCAGAGGTTCAGGAGAGCTTTTTGTGGCTGCTTTAATTTATGATCAAATTTACTTTATTGATCCCACCCCGGATTTTGTTGCAGCAATATCTCTGGAAATCGGGCTGAGGGCAGCAATTGCTTTTTGCAGAAGATGCTGTGGAGCTTGTAACTCAGGGATGAGCAGGGCCCCTCTGGAATTTACCTCTCCTGTGCGCTGTGCTTAAGGGTTTATAAACACCACAGTTAAGACAGTCTCCTCCTGCTAGAATTTACATCAACCCCTGCATTTTTTAATTTGTTTGAGGCTACAGGTCCTCGCTCCTTTGCTTCCCATCATGGGGGAAATGGAATTACACGAAATAATAATGGAAAGCCTTTCACCCCATTTGCCTTGGCGCTTGCAGAGATGAAAACATCTATTACAGTGTGCTGAATTTAAAGCCTAATGACTTCAACGTGCCTCCAAACAATGCAGCTTCCTGAGTGGGAAGCCTAAAATCCCAACAAAGACATCATGGGCCACTCAGGAAAGAAGGAGTGGGGTTCAGAGAGAAGGGAAGGAGGTAAACAGTGCAGGGAGGGGGGTGGGGTGGCTTCCCACCCTCTTTCTTTCCATTGTTAAATTTAGGTGCCCGTTTCTCCAGCCCATTTGCATCCCTCAATGCCCTTTTCTCCTTGGATGCCTATTTCTCCAGCCCATTTGCTCCCTCAGTGCCCGTTTCTCCCTCCCTTTGAGATCCCTCTGGACCCCGTTTTTCCAGCCCGTTAAGGTCCCTCAATGTCCATTTCTCCATCCCTTTGAGATCTCTCTGGATTCCCCTTTCTCCAGCCCACTGATATCCCTCAGTGCCCATTTCTCCAGCCTGTTGAGGTCCCTCTGGATGGCAGCACAACCATCAGCTTTGCCAGTTGCTCCTCCCAGTCTTTTTTTCTGCTGCCATCTGCACTCTGCCCCCTCACCCAGGTCATCGATAAGGATGTCAGATTATCCCAGATAATGTTTATACATATTGTCCTTGGTTCTGTGGCACAGCATGTAACCTCCCAGGCCTCCTGGTGATCAATGTTTTGCAGGGCTGCTTTGTTGCTTTGCGGGAGCAAAGTGCTCCGAGAGAATGAAACCCAGGAATAATTAGTACTTTCTTGTGCTCGTTGTGTGGGTGTTCACAGAGCACAACAACATCTTGCCGTGCTGAGCAAGGGCAATTCAGGCAGAGGAACTGAGCATTGTGCTGGATGATTTATTTTGGCAGGCCTGGCAGGATGACAAGCACAGCTACCAAGAGCAGCTACGCGGATCCGACGCGGAAAACACTCTGCGGGAGCCCGTTCCTCAGTATCAAGGTAAATGTGCTTCCTGTAATTATCCTGCTTTCTGCAATACCCCCTTGGATCACTGGCCTGGCAAAGAGGAGTTTGGTTTTCTGCAGAAGGCATTGAGAGGGTTCCTGATTACCAAGTGTATTTGGAAAGTTTTCCTTGTGCTTCCTGTGGCTTTCCATGTGCTTGTGGCAGAAGCACCGTCTGAGGTGGAACCGTCTCCATCCAAGAGCAAGTGGTGGGACAGCAAGGCTGAAATGCATATTTAACTTCCAGGTTCTGCAGAACTTCATGGAATCACAGAATGATTTGGGTTGGGTGGGACCTTAAAGCTGATCTTTATGGACAGGGACACCTTCCACTAGCCCAGGTTGCTCCAAAATGGCCTTGGACACTTCCAGGGATGGGGCAGCCACAGCTTCTCTGGGCAACCTGTGCCAGGGCCTCCCCACCCTCTCAGCCAAGAACTCCTTCCCAGTATCCCATCTGACTCTGCCCTGTGCCAGATGGAAACCACACTTCAAAGTGCACCAGCCCTCCTGGACTCGGTGCAACCTCAGGTCCTCCAGGTGAGTGTTTGAAGAGCTCTGCAGAACTACAGACTGGACCTGGGGTGGCTCCCCCTATGCTGCAGCATCTGCTTTGTTCCATTTTGGCTAAATAATTGCATTTATCAGTAATTAACAACATTAATTAACTGGTACATTCAGTGTAGTTGGAGCCAATTACCTGGCTCGTTAGAGAGTCTCACCAGCCTGTAGAGCAAAAGATGACAGCTGGTGTTAAAGGCTTAAAATGTCTCTTAAGTGAGACTTGTTTTCACCTCCAAGGCAGAGCTGACCATGCATTATCCTCACACAATTATGCTCAGCACAGGATGTTTTCCCCAGATCTCTTGGGTTTTTTTCAAGAACTTAGGTCACCCTGTCCGGTTTCTAAATTACTTCCTCAGAAAACAAAACTTTCAGTGCAGGGTTTCAATGGCTCTTGCAGAAACACAAAACCATTGCACAATGTGGTTGATGTGTTTGAAGTGGCTGGAGGACCAAAAATCACAGCACTGCAGTTTGTATATGTATTTATATCTCCAGAGAGTGTGTCACAAAAAACTAGTTGCCACGTGTCAAAAGGCAATTGAAGGGCATAACTAAAAACTGGCTTGTTTTGGCTTCAAGGAGCATTAAAATTTAGATAAGATGTTGGGAAGGAATTGGCTGTGAGGGTGGTGAGGCCCTGGCACAGGTTGCCCAGAGAAGCTGTGGCTGCCCCATCCCTGGAAGTGTCCAAAACCAGGCTGGATGAGGCTTGGAGCAACCTGGGCTAGTGGAAGGTCTCCAGGGATTAGAAGTGGATGATCTTTAAGGTCGCTTCCAAATACACACCCAACCAAGCTGGTTTGGATTAAACTGGAACAGGCTGGTTCCTCCCAGCCCCATTTTCTGTAAGCAGAGCGCAGTGCACAGGGGTTTACCATGTGCTAAGGCACAAAACCCTTCCTTAAAATAGCAGCCAAAGTCTCCCAAACACATGGAAACAGCGTGACAGGGACTTCCCTGTGTCAGCTGGGGCAGGACAGTGTGTGCAGCTTTCAGAGCCCTCACTGGGACGATTTGTTGCCAAACCGCACAACCAACCCTGGAAACACATGTAACCTTTGTAGAAAGGTTTTTTTTGGACCACCAAGAGAGAGGAGATGTTGGTATTTGGTCCCCAGGTCTGCAGTTTCCTGCCTGCGTTGGATGGAGTGTGTTTCTCTGTTCTCTTAACACCTGTAGGGTGGGAGCAGCAACACCTCAGCAACGTGGTGCAAGGCTTAGCAGAGCAAAGCCAGCAAGAATACATTAAACATTATCTAGCAAAGTAGAAAAGCAGCAAATCTGATCAGAGAAGCTCCTCCTTAGACATGTAGCAGAGCAGAAATGCACTTTTCCCAGAGCTGGTTGTGGAGGGTGTGGACAGCGGAGGAGGTTCTCTGCACCCTGGCACTGCAAGGGGATTATTTTTGGTACCAAGCACCCCCTGTCCCTGGTTCAGGTGTTTGGTGTTACCTCAACACAGGCTCTTCTATTAATGCTTCACAGATGTTTATTTAAAAAAGCCATTGCAAAACCTCTCCCTTCCTTCCTCCTCAGCCTACGGAAGTGCTCCTGTGGATTCTCCGAGTTGTTTTAATTCTGCTGATGTAGAGGGGAGATGTTACAAGCATGTCCTGGCCTTTCTATGGGAAACAGGTGCCAGACAGCTGAACTTGGGGTTGTTTCTGGGAGCACTCAGCTCTGGGGCTGCTCCTGGATTTGTTGTGCTGTGAGGACACAGCACGTGGGAAAAGGCTGGTGCTTGCAGACCCAGGTCAGCTGCTGGGGCAGCCCATCAGACCCAGGCCAGCCCCACCAGTCCAGTAGACCTAAAGTCCATGAGTCTGTCCTTTCTTTCCCTGGCAGAAGAGCAGCTGTGCTGTGTTCTGATGGCTGACAGCAAACAGCCCCTGGAGCCAGAACTGGGGGCCTTGCCTGGTGCTGACCGCAACCCACTGCAGGTCCTTTGCAGGGCCCTCTCTCTTTTCTGTGCTTTACTCTGCCTAGATGAGAGGATAAAACACCAGATTCCCAACCCCTTTTGACCTCCTGAGCTGCAGAGGATGTGGGGCAGTGGTGGGCAGCTGCTGAGCTGACGTAAACCAGCATGATTTGAAGGTCCTGGATTTGGATACACATTGGGCTGTTTGCTGTGGATGTCTGGAATAAATGAATCTGGCTTCAACCTTTCCATTCTGACCTCATGTATTCAGGAAACAGAGCCTGGACAAAGCCAGTGTCTTGTAGGAATATAGTAGTTTTGGCAAAGCTGGCTCCGGGGAAGCTTTCCTTTGGCAACTTTCCTGGTCCGCACACGTTGCACCCATCAGTGGTTACATGAGCCTGGAAGGGGGGAGGTCCTGGATTATATCCTGGTTTGCATGATACCCACCCATCGCTTTGGGTGGTGGTAACTCCAGCACTGCAGTTCTCAGTGACCCGGGAGGGCTTGACCATCCTCTTTGTCCCCTTCTGTGCTGTAAATACTCCCCTGGCTGACAGAGCAGCCCAGTTTGGCAGTGATCCCACTCTAGCCCTGGATCAGAAGGAGATGTGGCAGAAACCCAGGCCAGGCTGAGCAGCTCCTCTAGGTGAGGCTGCTCCATGGTGGGAGCTGCAAAATCCTCAGAGCTGGAGTAGTGCCCTGCTCTGGTCAGCAAGAGAGTAAAGATCTGCAAAAAGCAGTGCCCTGAGGGTTTGGTCATCATCCAAGGCTGAGGCAGCAGCTCTGGAAGGACCCAGAGGCATCCAGCCTGTCCTGCAGTGATGGGTGGTCCACCTCCTTAGGGAATGTGGAATGTTTGGGCTGGCCAGTTTTTTTGCCTCCTTTGGGCACTGGAAGGATGCCTGTGGAGAGCCATGTGGGGAAGGAGATGACTTGCCAGCTCCTTTCCTTTGCTGAGTACTTTGCAGAGCTGTGGATAAAGGGGAGGTCCATCCCTCCCCTTCCCTCCTTGGACAGGTCACTTGGCACTTGGGAAATGCTTCTGTGAGAGGACCAGGGAGATGGACTCTGTTCTCTGTGGGGCAGCTCGAGCCACGTGTTCCCCTGGGCAACCCAGCACCTGCACACCCCAAACTCTGGAGGAGATGAGGTCGGATTATCTTCTGGGAGAGGATGGACTTTGGCAAGGTTTCCTTCTGGAAGTGGAAAAGAACCCTCACATTTTCCAAAGGAGATGTCCTTTACATCCAGGGCTTTTTAAGAAGGAAAGGAAAACAGCCTGAATTATTCTCCCTGACCTTCTCCTGTCTTTCTCTGAAGAAGTTGTTTGTTGATGTGTTTAGAAGGGCTCGTTCCTGTCCCAGAATTGCTCCCAGCACTGGGGATGGCTGCTGCCCCTGGCTGGATGGGAACAGGAATTGTGCAACCTCCCACTTCTGGTTCTGGATCTTAGGGACAAGGCCAACACAAACAAGCATCATCCCAACTGAAACAACGTGTTTGTCCAAAGCCACTTTTCATCTGAAGAAGTTACACCCTCCTTGCAGATAGTGACCCCGTTGTTATTTTTGGCAGAGCACTATTTCATGTCTCTATCAATTTCAGAAGATTTCACTGATGGCAGAGCAAGGATAGTATTTCAAAGGCTCATGGTCAAAGGTTTATGTTCAATAACTGTGCCTTTCTCTGGAGATGCAGTTTGTTGTGCTGCAGCTCTCAGTAACCGTGCTGGATGCTCTCTTTTTTGTTGGCAGTTCTTTGTGTTCTGCCACGGGCTGCTGCAGCTCTCCCAGCTCCTGGTATCCGGGTACCTGAAGAGCTCCATCTCCACCATCGAGAGACGGTATGGCCTCTCCAGCCGGACGTCAGGGCTGCTTGCTTCCTTCAATGAGGTGAAACCAGCTTTCTTCTCCTGCTCTCCCCATGCTCCTTGTGTTCCCCTGCGAGACCTTTCGCTCTCTGTGTCCTGCTGCAGGTGGGGAACACGCTGCTGATTGTCTTCATCAGTTACTTCGGGAGCCGAGTGCACAGGCCCCGGTTCATCGGCGCCGGCGCCCTGCTCGTGTCCCTGGCCGGGTTCCTCATGTCCCTGCCCCACTTCATCACTGGGCCCTATGAGTTTGACCAGTCTGTTGCCAGTAAGTGCTCTAGGAGCTTATTTTAGGCCTTTTGGGATGGAAAAGGGAAATAACAGAATCCCAGAATGGTTTGGGTTGCAAGGGACCTTAAACCCCATCCCTTTCCATGGGCAGGGACACCTTCCACTAGCCCAGGTTGCTCCAAGCCCTGTCCAACCTGGCCTTGGACACTTCCAGGGATGGGGCAGCCACAGCTTCTCTGGGCAACCTGTACCAGGACCTCTCCACCCTCATAGCCAAGCATGCCTTCCCAATAGCCAACCTAACCCTGCCCTCTGGCAGTGGGAAGCCATTACAAATTTCCCTTCCCTAGGGAGGTTGGGAGCTGCAAGTTTGTCCTCAAGGAATTTTATTTTTCTGAGAATGAAACCATCTCAGTCCTGAGAGGCAACAGCTGTGGCAGGAAGAAGTGCCAGGGGACATGGGGACCCTGGAACCATGGGAAAGGACATGAAAACAGTCAAAACACAGGCTGTGCCTCTGATTGCCCTTGTTTTGTGCACACCCATACAGCAGACAAACCCTGGGTGCCAGGAAGGTCTTCTCCAGCCACCAGGGCTCTCATATTCCATGAGTTGAGCCAAGTTGTCCTCGTGAATGCTAACTTATTATGATGTAAATAAGATAAAGTCTCATGAGCTCTGTCACCTGTAGCCCATTGTGGAAAGGAAACAGGAGGTTTGGGAAGGAGCTTGGCTCACCCCAAGGGACGAATGCTGTTGTCTGCAATGAGAGAGTGCTGGTTTCACACCCAACTTCTCCTGTTTCTCCAGCCTCACCTGTCTTCCCCTGCCTAGCTGAGCTCGAGGGAATGCTTTGAGGTTTTAGACCCCACCAGAAAATCAACCTCCCATGAGGAACATGCAGTTTAAATCACTCATGGAGGGAGGGAACAGACCAGGGTGAATTTGGGATTTTTTCCCTGAAAGAAAGTGAAGGGATGAGAAAAGAAGGAGAAAAGCACTTTCTTGTTACCTCTCCAAATCTTTTGCTCCAGCAAATCTTTTAGAAGCCTCCTCTGGCTCAGCAGAGGGATCTCAGCTGGTTCACACAGAGATGATCTGTTTGTCCAAAGCCACTTTTCAGCTGAAGAAAGGCACCACTTTGCAACAGGCACCAGGGAAACACTTAGTAGGTGAATAAGTCATGGCTGCAAACAGGATGCTAATGGCAGTTTGGAAATAATTAGCCACCTGTTGGTGCAGGTGACCCTATGTCTGAGCACTCAGAGTTCCACAGGATTTAGGGGATAACCATGGAAATCCTGCTAAAAGCACCTCCCCCTCAGTATTTTGAGGAAGATAAGGGTGCCTGAATCAGCACTTTCACTTAGGCAGCTTTGTAAGCTTTTTCTGGGGAAAATGAGTTCTCATTTCCCGAGTTCTCCTCACTTACCTTTCTTGGAAGGAATATCAAAGGTCCTGGAAGTGACCTCAGCTCCACTTCTTCAATGGAAGTGGCTTTTCATGGCATGTGCATCCATCTGTGAACATCTGTACAGTAACCTTTGGACTTGCTTTGGATTTTCTCCCATAGAACATCTAAGGATAAGATGAGAAGAATGTGGAGCTGCTTCAGCAAGTCCAGAGGAGGCCATGGAAATGCTCAGAGGGCTGGAACTCCTCTGCTCTGGAGCCAGGCTGGGAGAGCTGGGAGTGTTCACCTGGAGAAGGTTCCTGAGAGCCCCTTGCAGGGCCTAAAGGGGCCTCCAGGAGAGCTGGAGAGGGACTTGGAACAAGAACCTGGAGTGGCTGGACAAGGGGGAATGGCTTCCCACTGCCAGAGGCTGGGGTTAGATGGGATATTGGGAAGGAATTCTTGGCTGTGAGGGTGGAGAGGCCCTGGCACAGGTTGCCCAGAGAAGCTGTGGCTGCCCCATCCCTGGAAGTGTCCAAGGCCAGGGTGACTCTCTGATCTCCTGAGTCACTACCCACATGCTGCTACCTTTGGGAAGCTCTTTCTCCAGGCCAGGCTCCTCAGACCTGTTCCCCTTGTCACCCACAGGCACGTTCAGCAACACCACCGACCTGTGCCAGCCCAGGTCCTGGGCAAACCTCAGTGATGCCAACTGCACCCCCCGTGCCAGCAGGGAGAACCACGAGGTTCTCCTGGTCATGTTCATTGCCCAGGCCCTGCTGGGCATTGGTGGTGTCCCCATCCAGCCCTTTGGGATCTCCTACATCGACGACTTCGCCAGCAAGAGGAACTCCCCCCTCTATCTGGGTAAGACTGTGGGAAAAGGGGGAGCCAGGATGAGACTGATGGCAAAGCTTCAAGCTTGGACAAACATCAGACAGACCTGGAGTGCTGGAAAACATGATTTGAGGGAAATATTGGGATTTTTGGCCTGAGAGTCATAACCTGGAGACAGATATAATAACCATGTCCTCCTCCAAAAAGGATTCAAGAAGGCAAAGAGGAATAATCTGATCTCTGTGTTCACAAAAGGCAGCAATGGGTTTAAGGTGCAGCTATGAAGACTCTGTTTAGATGTTAGGAATATTATAGGAAGCTAAAAAATAACAAATAATTAAAAATTCAAAAATTTTTAAATATTATTACAAAATTATAGGAAGCATCTTGGTGATGGGAGAGTATCCTTCAGCAGAGGGGGGTGCTGGAGAACTGCTTGGGCACAGGCCTAAAAGGGATGTCCCAGGGTGGTCGGATGGACAAAATGGTCTTTGCAGGTCCTTCTACTCCTTTTCTAGCTGTTATCTGTGAGTAACATTGAATTGAATTGAATTGAACTGAATTGAATTGAATTGACTTGAACTGAATGGAACAGCAAAGGTGGATCAAAAACAGGTCATCACTGTCAAAAAAGTGGAAGTACAGCATCAAATTTTGCTCTGGTGGTTGATTCAAACCTCTGAACCTCAGCTGAAAGGATCATATGTAAGGCAAGAGTTGAATCTCCCACGTGTTGTTATATTTTTAATCAGTAATTCACATAGGAGAGTTCACTGATAACTTTTATCTCCTTCACCCTGTAAAAAATCTCGGCATTTCCTGGATTTCTTATGCCGAGAGACACATCCTGTTCCTGGGCGTATTCCAGTCTTTCTAGGAGGCTGAAGAAGAGGGGCAGGAAAGGTCTGAACCTTGCAAAACCTTTTCTTTGAAGGGAGCACGGGACTGTTGCTGTGTGAGAGGGGCACTGAGGAAGCTGCCAGGAAAATCAGCTGTGCTGGAGGTGGACATGGAAGAGCCTGGTCCTGTCTGAAGGCACCTCCTGTCCCTGTGGTCCTTTCCCACAGGGTTGAGCCCTCTTTGCTCTCATCTCTCTGCAGGAATCCTGTTCTCTGTGACTGTCATTGGGCCAGGGGTGGCCTTCATGCTGGGCTCTGCCATGCTGCAATTCTACGTGGACATCGACAAAGTCAGCGGAGGTGAGTGAACGTGCCCTGAGAGGGATTTTTAAGCAGAATTCCACGAATTTCTTGCCATATGCCAGCACCACTGGTAGGAGTGTTTTGCTGCCAGCCAGTAGTGGGGATGTGGAGAACAACCAAAACCCAGGGAGAAGATACATGAAGAAGAAAGATGGAGCTGGGTACCAGCCCTGAGGTGTGAAGAAGCATGGTAGGATGGGAGGAAGGTGAAAACAAGGAGAAAGGAAATGCTGGATAGGGCAAGAAAGGAGCACAAAAGGGATTTCCTTTTCAAATGTCTCTCCCTGAGATGTGCTATTAAAGTATTTGTAATCATCTCCTTTTTGGCTGCTCTTGAATCATGGTCTGGAAAATAAGAGGCTCTTTCCTGGTTGTTAACAGAGCAAATATTCAGCCTGGAGAAGAGAAGGCTCCAGGGAGACCTTAGAGCCTCTTCCAGTCCTAAAGGGGCTCCAAGAGAGCTGGAGAGGGACTTTGGGCAAGGGTCTGGAGTGCCAGGACAAGGGGGAATGGCTTCCCACTGCTGGAGGGCAGGGTTAGATGGGATATTAGGCTCCCTTTAGCCTAAAAGTGTCTTCAGCCAGCTGGGAAAAGCTGATGAGCT